ACTAGTATCAGACCCTGGTCCCCTGTTATTATACTCCGCCATATATGTCTGCGTCACTTGTGGATTTTCACTCCACCCTCTTGGGTCAATAAAATCACTAATATAACTAGACATAATTACTGCCTTCCCTCCATTAATCCAAGGCCAACCTAAAAAACTTTCAATTTCCGTCTTGTTAAATTGTCTTGTAGTTGATATGTTACAGTTCTGAAGAATTAACCCCGGATTCGAAGTAATGCTATCTTCCCCTGGAGCAAGTATTCTAACTCCTTGTCCATGTATTGGTGGCCTTGCTTTAAGACGACAATTTTGAAATATAGCACGTCCGCTACCAGTGATAAAATCGATTGTACCAAATATCAAACACTCTCTGAAAAATGAAGTATCCGAGGAAAAAATTGTATCCTGGTAACCCAAAAAACTACATTGATAAAATGAAGTAAAGCCTCTAAAAGGAGCAATTGTTAATGCAGCTGCTTGACCACCTTCTGGTCCAGCAGTATTTCTGATTGTCAACGAAATCCCAATAAAACCACTGCCGTATACTTCTGTTCATTTTCAAATTTTATAACATTATTAGACACTCAAAAGTTTATGAATTAAAAACACAATTGATGTTATTATTATTATGCATAGATTTACCTAATGTGGCGGTATGAGGCGTTCGATATTGTTTACTGTTTTTATTTGCTGAAATTATTGTGACGCCCATACCATCACCAACAAGGGCTATATTTGGTTTCTCATTCGGAATAGTGACATTTTCATTGTAAGTTCCTTTTTTGACATGTATAAAGTATGTTTTTGTACTCATTTTCGGTGCTGCAATTACTGCTTCGGTAATTGTTTTGTAATCGCCAGAACCATCTTGTGCAACTGTTGAATCGAACGCCGTACAGTTCCCCGCACCCCACCATAGCATCATAATAATTGTCAAAATTACTCTCTCTTTACCTTCCATCGACATTTTTTTTTCCTACATTAACAAAAAAACATATATATTTTAGATCCAAAAACTAGATAATTGAATGCGTTTGGTTCATTGAAAAAAAAAGTAATTTTCTAGAGATAAAACCCTATCAGAAACGTTTTGTACTGAAAATGATTTTTGAAAAAATATTTTTCATTAATACCGAAAACATTGTTAGTGTAGAATTGCTATAATCCATCCTAAAGTTCTTGGATTATATAAATTCATCTGAAATCATAGCTTTCGATATAAATTATACTTATATATGTAAAAAAATCTCAAAAAATATAAGATAAAGAAGAAAATCTCAATAGTTGAATCTATTTAATTTAAATTATAGATCTGCATCTATAATTCTTCAGCATCTTGGAACACACATTAAAATAGATAAGTGATTTAGTAGAGAAAAAATCGCAATAATGGCTAAATTACTAATATATCTGAACTAATACTACAGGATTTGTTCTGAAATAATTAGCATTAGCTTACCACGAAATTAACAAACTTTGATGGATGCTTATGTTGGTGTCTATTCAAAAGACAAAAATAATTAATTGATGATTAATCAAATAATACATTGTGAATTTACAGATATAAATGTGATGATAAAAAATTTATGAATCATTTGTAGGTGAATATGAAATTGCATAGGCCTTCATCTTCATTATATAGGGGCACAAGTGATAAAAGTCAAATTAATTCATTAAATATGCAATTATTATTTTTGATTTTTAGATGTAACGGTTACTATAAAGTCAAACTTGCGAAGGATTTATTAAATTTTGACTGATAATGTCAAAGAGGATATATTTAACAGTAATTATTTAAGTAGGCCAATTTAAAAAATAATAGTAATATCTTCAAGTTTAAGTAGCAACTTACAATTATGCATATTATACATCTTTGACAATGAATTTGGAGATCTTCTTTAAGTTTTTGGAATAAAATCATATATTTAAAAATCACATAGAAACTATTATAAGTCTTAATATTAACAACTAAAATTATTTTTAAAAAAATTAAAAATTACAATAAAAACAAAGTTATTTTAAACAATAAAATTCGAAAACTCACATAGATAAGTATAGATTTAACCAAAAGTCGGAATTGTAGAAGACCAGGGTGAGCTTATAGATTTCCTAACGTTTACATACTCCATAATAACTATATATAGTATTGTTACCTACACTTTTCAAATGTTATAAATAGAAATTTTTCAAAATGTCAATATTTTAACATTTAAGAGACCTTATTAGCAACACTTTTAATATTTAGTAAAATGTTAAAATTTTAATTTGTTATGCATCTTAATTATATTTTTATTATTTATTTTTATTTAAAGAATAGAATTATTTAATAACAAAAAGAAGAAAATCAAGGGAGAGAATATTTCAAAAAAAGATAAAAATTACTTTATTTTCTCATCAGTTCCATTTTTAAATAAAACTCAAACTTTATTTTTTTTTCTCTCTCCATAATCTTAATCTTTTTTTTATTAGTCATTCCAATAGGTATGTCAAATGAATTTATAGTTATTTAAGAAACATATTTGTATTCATATATTTTTTTTATGTGTATTTATTTGTTTCTTCTAAAATTTTCTATTTCGTATTTATTTCAATATGTATTTATTTCGTATTTCTAATTATTTTAATTTTTATTTAGAATATTGTATAATAATATATAAAATACAAAAAAGTAGTATGATGTAAAAGTGAGATAATAGTTTTTAGAGAAGGAACATATCACTTAAAATTCTCATCATTAACAATTTTAAAAAAAAACTCTTTTTTCATTCTATTAGATCAACTTTCCTTTGTTATGTTTTT